AAATGCTGGAAATATCTCTTTTGCGCATGAATAAATGAAAAACGAAGCGTGCATAATGTTGTAATTGCCAAAAAATCAAAATTTTCCAGAGAGAGAAACACTTTTTCTACTGAAGGAATTAATTTCAATTTACAATAAAATGGTAAAAAAATTTACTAGGTTACAAATTCTCTGGAATAACAAAATGATGCAGACCTAAGCCATAACGTTTTAAGCGCCAAAATTCACGTGACTTGCACTTTGGCACTTAAAACGTTATGACTTACACATAAATTAAACTTCAAAATACAGCCACTTACTACGCCACAATATTTTTTGCAGCAGAAAGCATTGCGTTTAGAATTCATTTCTTCAACGAGCGATTATTTATTGTGACATCGTCACAACGCTGGACTGCAATTTTTAATTTATTTTATTTAAAATATATGCTCTCCACTTCGAATTAGTAGTGTCTTGCCCATGTACATCATACTTCTTCGTTAGCAACAGAGTTGTGACGGTAATCTATTAATTACTTTTAGGGGAAGTTTTTAATTGAAATAACGTAACTTCCGGTTTGCATCGGAAGTTCTTATATAGTTAATCGGGCCTCCTATCCTTAAGGTTTCCATATATGGTCTAGGCTTTCATCTATCTAATTCCGTTCTCGATACTAAGGAAAGACAGACGGACTGATGGACGACAGTGGAAATTTATAGGTTTACAATTTTTTCAAATTGTAGCCCAATAAAACGCATTTAGAAAAAAATGGAATTTACAACGTTATGACATTGAACGCTTCAAATATCCTGTATAAATACCAAAGCAAAAGAAATTTAATATAATGCTTTCAAACATACTAAATATGAATAGAACCCATCTACAATACATTTAGATTAAAAGAAGAGTGAAAATTATCGAAACTGATTTAAAAACTCGACAAATTTTTAAATTATTTATTCCAAATTTAAAAGAACGGATATGAGAAACTTTTCAATTGTGACGTGGGAAAAGAACAATCATAAGGCGATGATGATATATCCGCTGTAAATAATGGCATTAAGTGAATGTTGAATAATATGACGTAAACGCACGATAACGAAGTTTCAGATATGAGATAGTGAAGTGATTCTCAATGAGACAACTGAATTTTAAATTAATATAATTCATGTATAGATTTAAAATTCAATTATATATCTCAATGTCCATTCACAATGTTTAGTTTCAAAATGTTTACTTAATGATAGAACTTTCTGAGAACGTTAAGATTTATAAAATTTGGCTTTTACATATGAAACTATTTAACTAATTTAGGAAAAATAAATAAATGAAGTCAAAAATAAATAACCAATTTCTTACAGAAACATGTTTTCAAATTTAATCAAATTCGTCTTTAATTAAGATACCATAATTTAATATATACGAATATAATATAAAGAAATTTTACTATAAATATTAAATTACTGCATATGAGATTGCCATTTTGAATGGGAAAGTTCAAATGAAAAATTTTTTGTTTTTAACCATTTTATCTAATTATTAAAAACTTGTAAAAATAGAATAGACAACTATTATTAAAATCCAAGTATAAAACGTTTGACATGTATTTTGGATTACTGTTATTGTCCTGGTTAAGGAGTAACTGATAAGACATCCCTTGAATTTGTGTACAGAATTTTTTCAGCACTTAGATATTCCTAAACAATTAAGTGGCCTTAAAATAAAGGAAGAGCCAAAGTTGTTAGTCTTCAGTTCTTCTATTTTTAACATTTTTATTTTTAAAGTATTATCTATTGTACTTTTACAAAGTTTAAATAAATAATTTTTGATTTTGTGACTTTAATTGTGCAAAATAATTACCATTGGCTTATACATATGGTTAGTCAGAGAGTAAATCATTTATATTTTCTGTGGTAAAAGTTGGTATTCTTTGATAAAATGAATTCATGGAACTTGTACAGTTTTTACAGTCGTTTTGTACACAGTTATACCTTTCCATTTCACTAATACTGGATTGATTTATCTTTAATTTTTCATGCATTATTTGCAATTTAGCATAATTTTCTGTTGTTATTTCACCAATTCTTAAAAAGCTATGGTGTATACCACTATAAATTTGGCACCATAAGATAAGCATAACTTTCCTGTGATGAAAAGCTTGTTTTAAAGCTGATCACAGATATCCATCTACATCCAAACAGGATAAAGATCTTCATCTGTTATCTTATATTACCATATGATCAAGAAAATAATTTTGCTGCTAATGGAGAAAAGAAAAACACTGGAAATTTTATTCCATTTATTCACCTCTGACTTCTTAATGACAAGAATAATTGCCTCATGTTGTCCTTTCTAATTTTAACCCAGTTTTGATCATTTTTATTTTATCCCCTCCATAAACAAATGAATTGCAACATAACTTGCAATATGCAATTTCATGTGCACAACACTTTCATTCTAATAACATAGTCTAAGCATACTAAACTTAAAATATCATTTTAAAATATTTACATTCAAGCTGCAAAGTAAAATTCTAAAATACATATTTCACAAAATTCATGAAAAACTAATATAAATTTCAATTTGTAAATATATTAATTTGCTCTAATATCTAATGATATATGTTATCAGTAAAACATATTTCATTTTGTTTTTCTTTTAAATAAAGATACTAAAAGTAAATAATGAATTTGTTTTCAATTTACATAATGAAAAAGTGAAAAAGAAAAGATCCAAAATTCACATCTCAATTTTAAATTATGAAAATTTAGTAATCAATTTTGTGTAATAATCAATCAGAAGAAATTATCAAGATTTATTTACTTTTAAGCAGCATAATGATGATATATGATGATATAATGATTAAAAAACAATGGAAAAGTTATATCTAATTAATAAATTTATTGTAGAAATTTTATATTTTCATTTATTTAAGAGTATATTTTTGTATAACATTTTTCATATTACATGTTTTGTCTTCTAAATATATTCATTCTATCATTATCCATTTGTATTACAGTATAATAAAAATTTTAGATCAATTGAAATTCTGGATATAACACTAACTTAAACAAATATCTTCAATAATTTCAAATATTCAACATACATCAAAAATTGTCGTTCTGCAAATGTTTTTATGTCACAATAAAATAAAGTAAAATAGATGTAGTCCCATAAAAGACATAGAATAAAATTAAGAATCTGCTGATGTATATTGTATTGAGTGAACTTTTCAAGGTAATTTTTGATAAGTGGTTAGTCAGTTTCATTGATGATTAAGACATAAGAGAATTATTTATACCTTTATTGAAAACCTTCTTGTCAATTATTGTCAAGAAGGTTTTCAATGACATTACTTTTTTTCCATATGAAATAAAACAAAAATAAAATTATTTTATTAATTGATTTACTGACATTTATATTAGTCAACAAATATCAATGTCATTTTCTGCCATTTTGCTAACAAAATCAGAACTACAGACCATTTTAAAGTATTCTGCTTCAGTTTTTTAAACCAAACAGTGTAGATTCATTTTATATTAAAGTGACACTTATATGCAATTATAATTATTATTAAATTACTTTCAAGTAATGAGATAGTAGTAAAATAAATATTTATGTGACAATTTCTGAACAGTAGTTAGATAAACAAAATAGAATCCCAGCATCTTATTGGATGATATAATCATTACAATTCATCAGGCCCTTTACCTTATATGAAATTCAATTGAATAAGGTATGAGATCAGGATCAATTTCAAAAGTAATCAGTTTTTCCAAACTTTAATGTTTTTATGCAATGAGAAACTTTTCTCATATAAAATTTTTTTAAAATTTTTAAATTAATTATTTTTGAAAAACATGTAATGTATTTCAAAAATAGCATTTTCATATTAAAAAGAATTAAACACTTTAGAATGTAAACAAAGATATTTCATATGACAACACACATTATCATAAAAATCAAAAGGAAAAAGAATTTAAAAATAAATGAATATTAAATGTAAAACTTCATAGTCTTAAATACTTTTATATCTCCAAAGGCAACTAGAGGCTAAAGAATGCAAATTTTAATTTTTCTGTAATTGCATCCAAAAACAAATTATACAAATATTTAAAGCATTTAAAGTTATAAGATTTTTCGCCTAAAGATATTTATAGTTTATATAAGACTAAAATTTAAATTTAAACAAAAAGATTGTTCTCAACAATATTGTCAGAAAATTCTAAAAGCTTTATTATTCAAATATTTATAAATTTCATAACAATTTACAATATTCTGAAGTTTATCAGTAAAAAATATATGTATATATTGCTTATTAATAGCAAGAAAAAAAATAGAAGTACTGAAAAAATAAGTAGAAATAAACTGGGTAAAGTGATTTTTGTTAATTTTATTATTATAATTTTTTATAATTTATTAATTTTGTTATTTAATTGTATTATTTAGAAAAATTTCTTGAAAGAAAATTAAATGAAATTGTAATTTGTGTATTTTACCAATGATCAGTTTACTATATTTATAATAAGCAAAGATATTTTCTGAAAAAACAATATCATCATCATTCTTGTCAATTTATATTTCATTGTTAAATTTTAATTAAAAATATAAATTACATTATCTTTATAATTCACTAATTACTGGTTTTTTCAAATAATCTTACTATCTTCAGTCATATAGAAAACAAATTCTAAAAACTGTTTCAAAGTACAAAAGTTTTAGCATTTCAAATTTTACAATGCTTACACATCAGTAGCTAAACCATGCCTATTTTTAAATATTATACGTAAATAAATTATCAAAATCCACTTAATTAATTTAACTGATAACAGTTTCTAATTTTCTGTTTTAATCAACACAAATAAAAAGTATTTATAATTCCTCCATGAACAATAACTAAAATAAAATGATTAACATTAAAGTTTACATAATTTTAACAAAAAAAAAAAAAAAATTTTTTTAATATAGTAAAACGTGAAAAACAAACGTTACTGGATATTTTTAATGTAAATTTTACATACCTATGTTCACAAGGATCTAATTTGATAGTAGCAACCCCATCACAGCATAATGTACAAGAATCTTCTTTTACACTTGCATTTCGTAATTTTTCTAATTGAATATGCCTGTAAAATGCAAGATATACCACAGAAAGTTATGCTTAAAAATAATCAAAATAATTCAATATATAGATTTTCTTCTTTTGACAAAAAAAAAAAAATTTAAAGAAAAATATTTAAACCAAATGAATTATTCCATTAAAATTTCTAATACTGTTTACTAAGTTTTTTTTTTGACAATCCAAATATTACCAAATTATGATAATACATAATTCAATATATATTTATTTATTTTGTTTGATTTCTAGTTTTATTGAAATTAAATTATGATATATAATAAAATAAAATTAAGCAGTTAATTCCTAATAAAATCATCAAGCACATAATTACATGTTATAATTTCTGAGAAACAATGAAAACATATATTTATCATATAATCCCAATTTTTCATCACTGTTTTATATTCTTAACAAAATACATTTATACTAAATGCTTTTATTAATCTACAATTATGTGAAGCTATTGAGCTTATAGGATTATCAATTTACAACTGAGAACTTTACATTTTGACAGAAAAGTTATTTTGTTTGACTTGTTATTGGTGGATATCACTTTTCTTTTATATGAAATTAGATTTTCATCTTCAAATCTTTGTTAATATAAATTCATCAAATTAATTAAGTTAATTAAATTTACAGCAAAAAATATTAACTAATGTTCTCTGGAAATGTTTAATGAAAATCAAATAAAAATATTTAATGTTAATAAAATAATAATATCTTTCTTTTAAACATCATTTTTTTTTGTACTGAATATATTTATAGAAAATCGGTAGGAAATTTCTTATTCAGTATTCATTTCTTGTTAAATGTTGAATATTTTTGATGTCACTGGGAGTGTGATTTACAAAGTTTCTTGTAAAAACCATGAATCATCATCTATCCTTAAATATTCAACAAGGCATCATAAAAGCAAAAATATTCAGTACAATTTTATGTTATAGCTTTCCAAATAATATCCAGCTGACAGATTATAAGAATGAAAGGAAAGAAGTATATGTAGCTGTTGTACAATATATCATTCTAAACCAGTAAGTGAGTCATGACAATGTATTACATTCTAATAATAGAGATTTCTATATACCTATGTTTCCAATTAAAATTTTCTTCCACTAACTGCAATGAAAATTGGCACAGAAGAATAGAAAAACATCACAAAGTTTCATTATAATTTTTATTAGAACCTTATATATGTTTAATATAATTGCTTTCTTTTATAACACACCAGTATATTAGTCAAACTCTTATTTTGTCTTATTAATACTGATAATAGCCATGTTGATCCTTTCATAGCATCTTTTATGATTTGGCATGGTATGGTATACTGATTGAGCTGTTTGTTGACTAGATACAGCAAACAGTTATGGGGTTTTGTGAGAGCTTTAGTACAAACTTACAAATGTGTCTCAAAACCTCTAATATGCCCAAAGGATTTCTCTTTGCACAATTAATAATTTTCTTGAAATTGTGCATACTATATAAGGACAGTAATTTCTTGGTGGTCATTACTAAACTGAATGAGAAAATGTTACTGAAAAATTATTTCCAACTTCATTGGGTGAAATTTAAGTATACAAAATGTTTCTACCTGTGTAGTAGTGATTATTTTTTGATAAATATCTTCTGGTAATAAAATTAAAAACTAAACTGAATATGATGGGAGCTGTTAGTAAAATCTCTAAGTTTCTCTTTATACCTGATCATATCTTATCTAAGAATGTAATATAGTATGTTAAAAAATTCCAAAATTAGGAACATCTTTTATGAACAACTTGTATTATTGGCATTGCCATAGATAGACAGGTCTTCAATATCTTTAGCTAACTTGAATATGTGATTATTAGTGCTTGTCATTTTTCAGATCTTCCACAAACTAGTATCCAAAAATTGTAAATCCAACATCCCAAGAAAATCCTGGAATTTTAATTTTTTTCATTAAGATGACTTGTCACATATCAAGGTTTAAATGAAGAAAATGTTAAGATTGCCTAAATTAGATATAAAAAATTAAAACTGACTTACTAATAATGAGAAAATTTTAATTTGGCACATGGGGAAAACACACAGAAACATGTGAAACAAACATATTTAATTATTTTTCAAGTACTTTTGCTTGGGACATTGCAAAATTATTTTTAAAAAACTTTGTTTCATTCTGTTCCTGAAGATGTTTGCAATGTTTCTTCACATATTTCTGTCTGTTTTAACACCCAATTCAAATTTTCACCTTCCATAATTTAACTCTTAGTATATAAATTATCTTTTAAAAATTAAACAAACAAAAAAAAACCAAATTTAATTTGTTGTTTTCTTTGAAGTATTTCACATGTTTTTTGATAGTTCTAATTTCATCAATTTTGTACCAGATATAACACCTGCATATCATCATTGAAAGATCATCTTTTCTTTTTTTTTTTATTATTATTTTGTTAAAGAGCATGTGATAAAAATGTATCAAAATACATTTGATTGTCATTATTAAGTTCAAGTATAGCTTTTAAATAGTTTATGTACACAAGACTATTTTGTCACTAAAAGAGTTAACTGTTGAAATGTAATCTTGGTTGGAATGAAAAACAGAGTACAGTAAAATTTTTTCATAAATAAAACATTATATACTACTAGCTGTGAGGACCCGCTTCGTTGGGTTTTTATTTATATGCAATATAGTTTTTTTTATATATAAAAGACTGTTTTTCTAAGTAATCTAGAATCTAGCTGCAAGGACCCGCTTCGCTGGGCAAAAAGTAACGATAGTGAAGATTAAGATAATTACATTATAGCCAATCTTACCCGTTTTCACAGAATGCAAGAATTAGGTCCCCCGTTTCCAGACTAATTAGAGAATTTTTACATGAGTCTAAAAATATGTTTGATTTCCCGCAAAAACGCAAAAAACCGCCTGTAAATCTTGCATGCCGCTTTATATTAACACTTCCACTGTTAACACTTCCATTTGTGTTCTACTGTTCATACTTAATAACACAACATAAGTGTTCTACTGTTAACACTTCCATTGTTATACATCTTCGAAGTCAACCACTTTCAACCCCATATCTCCCACACCCTTATAGCACAGAATGCAAGAATCAGGTCCCCCGTTTCCAGACTAGAGAATTTTTATGTCCAGTCAAACGAACTATTTTCAATTTGATCAATTTTCTGGAACGTTTACAATCGTTCTATAATCAAACCAATTCGAATTTAAATTTGAATTTGAATACAAATTCGAATTTAAAACAGTTTGAACATTTTAAAAATTGAAATAGAAAATCTTCGAAGTCAACCACTTTAAGCCCCCATATCACCCGCACCCTTATAGCTATTGAGACGCAACCACCATAGTGCACGAATGGAGCCTTGGGGCTACTACCACATACAAACACCATTCATGTGCGATGTGTAGTTTTGGCTGAAAAGTGAAATATAGGGACACACACATCCATTTATATATATATATAGATATCTGCAAGTTTGATTTTAAATATCATCACTATCTTACTTTTAAAAATAATGATTAATTCTTTTCATCTTACATGTGAATTAGTTAATTTGGTCAAACAACAAGACAAACTGTAAGGTAATGTTTCTTATAAGACATGAAATTATTCTTTATTTAAATTGTTACATTATTTCTTATTTCACTTTTGCACTTCATAGCCCACATTTTCTTCCATTATGTTATTGTCCATGCATGTATTTGGCCATAATTTTTAATACCACCTATAAAAATTGTCAAAACTGATTTTTTTTTTCATTTCTACATTTGAAGTGAAATATAACTATTCAAGAACAGTTTTTGTGATATTTTTAGGCATTGCATAACCACTCTGAGTGTACTGGAAAGTTCTCAGGATAGGCAATAAATTCAATAAAAATGAAAAATAATTCTGCAGAAATATCTTCAATAGCCACAAGTTTCTAAAACATGTTTTTGAATTCTGCCACATGAGATGTCTTGGTAAGGGTGCTAAATTTTTGATAATTTTTTTTTTAAATTTGATAATACTTGTCGTCTAAGTGGTAAAATAGTTTTCTTATATTTAAACTTGCATTCTGTGCCCCAAAGGAAAGTGTAAATTAAAACTTTTTAATATATGCCTACATTTACTAGATTGAAAAATATGAATAAATTCCTTTTATTTTGTCTTGCTTTCTGAGTACTTTTAACACTACTCTGTCCATATTTTGCCTCAACTGTTATGGTAACCCTAACATTAGTGAAATTATAGAAGCCAATTTTGCCAATTATTTTCTAGAGAGAAAAAAATTAAAAAAATAGGGTTAAGTTTTCTTTATTTTACTTTAAATTTTTAATCAGCTTTAAGATATTTCCCCACCATGCAAGTAGCATGCTTTTTTCTTTACGTTAGAAAAAATTTAAACTTGTGTAAAAATGATTGAAAATACTCTCTTTATAATTTAAAATATAAAACTTTTATCAATTACTAACAAAGTGGTCATCATGAACAAATGTCTACTAGTCATTTCAAAATCAATTATATTCTGCAGTTCTGTTTTTCTTGTAGTATCTTAATGCAGTGCAACAGTGGTGCTACAGTATGTGAAAATATCAATACATGAACCTTCTCTGGAAACTAGTGGATATCTGAAAGAAAACAAGTCTCTATTTAAAGTCTCAATGCAAGACAATTTACACAAAATGACAAGACAATTTCTTAAAACATCCAAATGGTAAAAACAAGTTTGCAAATAATAGCAATTGTCTATCTACCTTCCAATGCTATATTCCTTACCAACCATTCAATCAAAGAATAATCATATGCTTTAAAGCTAATTCTATGAGATTTATCAAACATATTGAGATCTTGGGCAGTGACAACCATCTCAGCACCTTTACAAAAGTTGGCAGTCTTTCCTAATAAAGTAGGCAGTGGAGAGCACCAAAGACAAATCTGGAAGACCACAGCATAAATAAAATCAGAGGAATTGGTGGCATAAGATTTGAGGATTAGAGGTGGACATCAATGACTTAGTTTAGCTTCA